TGCAAACGTAACCGTTCAAGCGTCCGGTCTCCAACTTTGACACACGAACAACGCCGGAGTCTACCACAATCTTTATGCTAGTAAAGATTATAGTAGTATAAAATATAAAGATTAAAATTGGGATAATAATAATCTTGTATATTTCTATAGAAAATATTTCTAATAATATTTAGAAAATATTATAGATATTTTCTATACACAAAATGATATTAATGGAACACTAAAATAGTATTTTTCTCTCTAAGATGGTATAGCCCAAAACCACTCAAAAAAAAAATTTCTCGCCTTGTTTTAAAAGTGGCGTGTGATATTTTAAGGAGAAAAAGATGGTGAATTTGACTTTGTCATTAACTAAATGACAAAAATAATTAGCTCCACTAATTAAGCAATCAATGTATAGTTTGATTCTCTAAATCTACACTTTGGCCGCAAAAAAAAAATTGAGAAAGTGAGAAGGATTTTCAAAATTCTTCTCCACTCAAATGTTCAAAGTGTATTTTATTTGACACCAAAAATTAATATAAAATTAATTTTAAATCAAATAAAAATACCCATATCATTTTAAACAAGTATAAAATATACTTCAAATAGTTTATGTCAAAATAATTATTTTCATAATTAAAATGACAAATCAAAATAAAATATTCAATATATAATATATATATATTAATCGGCACATATATATAATATATATAACCGAATATTTATATATATATAATATTATATTCCAAAATATTTTACTTTACTATTTTTACAAATATACAAATTACTTATTATCCCATTGTTTAATCCTACTCCTTAAATTGTCCAAAGTGTGTGACCCGTATAGGCACTTATAAAGCTGGCCACAGTATTCGCTCTGCACCAATACTATAAGCAATAAGCGGTATCTAACAACACATTATTGCCCCCAGATTATAAGTTAAGACGTTTGCACCGTCAAAACCTTTCCACGACTCAAACTCCGTGTAACTGTATCCCTTTGTCTCAATGTGTAAACTTAATGCAAGGGATTAATAAAATCCAGTTTGTATCCATTAAGTCATTCACTGATTTATCAAGTTTGACTAATAGGAACAGACGTCATAAAAACATCTCAGCATGGCCATGCAATTTCCTCAATCATAACTTATCAGTGGGCCCCATAAGACATTAATCTCTTTAAAAAGAGTAGTGACAAATCCTATGTACGTAATCTATGTTTCTGAATACGCGCTGCGGCATACCCAAAACAAAGCCTGTATACCATCCTTATTTCATATGGCTTAGGACAATGCATCAAAGTATGCGGGTTCACATATGCAGAAAACATAATACTTCAAGTCGAAGGATAGTTACACCCGTGGTCGCNATCTCTAGATAATATCTGCCCATGTGCGGATGCGAACACACCGTCATTGACCATGAGACTAAGTCAAACATCCAACACACACTAGTCTCACATGCATTAACGATATCCCACTCTCGTTAATACTCGACTATGGACATTTAGATAAATATTTATTTCAAGATGTTAGTCTCATCAGCAGAATAACACTATCTGATAAACATCTTTAAATATAAATCTAGGAATATAATATTTGTTTACATTAGCATGAGATGTGTAAACATATTATATCTGCTTATACATAATAGAATAATGATAAACAGTTGGCCATCAAGGCACAACTCCAACAATTGGTGCCGAATCTTAATTGCCATTTGATCTCTGTTGGATGTCTCGTTCGTGATAACACTTGTCATGTGATTTTTAATGAATTTTTTTGTGTAATACAGGACCGTTCGTCGAAAACGGAGATTGGTCGGGGTGACTTGCGTAATGGAGTGTACGTGTTTCGCGGTTCTCTGGTTCAAGTTCATGCTTCTTCAGTCGATCCTCTTCTTTTTCACAAACGTTTGGGTCATCCGTCTCCCGTATTCACTTCTTCTCTTAGTTCAAATAAAAGCACTTCTAATTTAAAGAAGTTGCAAACTTGTGATATTTGTTTTATGTCCAAACAAACTCGTTCCGCGTTTCCTACAAGCAATAATAAAGCTCAATCTGTTTTTGATTTAATTCATTGTGATATTTGGGGACCTTACTCTGCGTGTTTGGCTACGGGTGCTCATTACTTCTTGACTATTGTTGATGACCATTCTCGTGCAGTCTGGGTATCTCTTATCAAATCTAAAGGTGAAGTCACCTCCTGTTTGAAATGTTTTTTTGCTATGATTGCCACCCAGTACGAGAAAACTATAAAAATTGTCCGTTCTGATAATGGCACGGAATTTCTTAACAAACCTCTTCGTGACTATTATGATCTCATGGGTGTCCAGATTCAAACTTCTTGTGTTGGTACACCTCAGCAAAACGGTCGTGTTGAGCGCAAACATCGTCACATACTAAATGTGGCTCGTGCTCTTATGTTCCAGGCGTCTCTTCCTCTTGAGTTCTGGGGTGAATGTGTCAAAACCGCCGTCTATCTTATTAATCGCCTTCCTACACCAATCTTGGGTGGTAAGTCTCCTCTCGAAATCTTGTCTTCCAAACCTTGTGATCTCAGTCATCTTCGTGTTTTTGGATGTTTGTGTTATGTTCGTCAGAAATTACCGAATAAGTTTGCTCCTCGTAGTGTTCGTTGTATGTTTGTGGGATATCCGTTTGGTACAAAAGGTTGGCGGGTTTACAACTTGGAAACTCACACCATCTTTCATACCCGTGACATTTCCTTTGATGAAACAGTGTTTCCGTTTGCTGTGCCCGCACCCACGTCGACCTCCCCATCGTCTTCTACACCACTGCCTTCCATTGTGTCGGCTGATTTTCCTGAGGTCCTTCCACTGGAATGCCGCCAGCCTGACACTCCGCCCATACCACAAATTCCTTCCGAGCAACAGGTCGACAGTATCACTCCCACTTCGATTAGCCCCGTGTCCGACTCCTCTTCTGGAACGACGACTGAAAACTCTCTTCCCGTCGTTCCCACGGTTCGTCAGTCTACTCACGTTCGTCATCCACCAGCTTGTCTTTCGGATTACGTCTGTCACACCGCCTTGACACATACCTCTTCTGCGCCGTCCTTCGTCCCATCCTCGTTTTCAGGTACACGGTTCCCTATTACTGATTTTGTTCATTATAATAAGTTACATGACAGGTATAAAGGGTTCTTGGGGGCGGTGACAGCAAACTCCGAACCTAAAACTTTCCGTGAAGCGGTCCAGCATGCCTCTTGGAGAGAGGCGATGGCCAAGGAATTACTGGCACTCGAGCGAAATCACACTTGGGATATTACAGATCTTCCACCTTTTCATCGTGCCTTGGGTTGCCAATGGGTCTACCGCACTAAATTTCATTCTGATGGTACCAAAGAACGTGACAAAGCACAATTGGTTGTGTTGGGGAATCATCAGGAATTTGGGAGAGATTATACGGATACATTTGCCCCTGTGGCTAAGTTAACCACGGTGCATGTTCTCTTATCTGTTGCAGTTGCCAGGTCATGGGAGGTTCATCAGTTGGATGTAAATAATGCTTTTTTGCATGGTGATCTTCATGATGAGGTCTATATGAAGTTGCCTCCTGGATATACCAGGGCGTATCCTGGGAAAGTTTGTCGTCTTCGCAAGTCTTTGTATGGCTTACGACAGTCGCCTCGTAATTGGTTTGCTAAGTTACGTAGTGCACTGAGGAGTTATGGCTTTCGTCAAGCTCATGTTGATCACACCCTGTTTGTTTGGTATCGTGGTCCAGATATTTTGGTTGTGTTAGTTTATGTGGATGATATTCTTGTGGCAGGAAATAATTCTTCTGTTTGTTCTTCTTTCAAGACATATCTCAATGATTGTTTCTGTTTGAAGGACTTGGGTCCCGTTTCTTACTTCCTTGGGATTGAGTGCGCTCGGTCTTCTGCTAGGATGGTCTTAACTCAGCGCAAATATGCCCTAGATATCATACACGAGGCGGGTCTTTCCGGATGCAAGCCCGTCGCTACTCCTATCTCCACGGGTCATTCTCTTGCCACTTCGTCTAGCCCTGAGATTCGGGATCCTTCGAAGTACAGAAGACTGGTTGGCCGTTTGTTGTATTTGACCATTACACGTCCTGATATTTGTTTTTCTGTGCATGTGTTGTCCCAGTTCATGCATGCTCCGAGGCTCAATCACCTTCATACGGCTATGCGTGTAGTACGTTATCTGAAAGGTCATCCTGGTCAGGGTATTTTCCTACGCAGTGACAATGACTTGGCTCTTACCGCTTACTCAGATTCCGATTGGGCTAGCTGTCCTCTCATTCGTCGGTCTGTTACTGGATATTTTATACAGCTCGGAGGCTCGCCTATTTCTTGGAGGTCTAAAAAGCAAGACACTGTTTCACGTTCGTCTGCTGAGGCGGAATATCGCGCTATGGCGAGTGCTTGTACAGAAATTCGTTGGCTTCGCGGGCTTCTTGCTGCATTACAGGTTCCTTGTGTTGCTACTCCGAGATTATATTGTGACAATAAGTCTGCTTTATTTATTGCGGCTAATCCTGTGTTTCATGAACGTTCGAAGCACATTGACATCGATTGTTATATTGTTCGCGAGTGTGTACAGCGGAGACAGGTGGCTACAGCGTGCGTCCCAACCAAATTGCAGGTTGCAGATATTTTTACTAAGGCCGTGTCCGGGCCCCCTTTTTGCGTTTTACTCTCCAAGTTGGGCATTCTTGATATTCATGCGCCAACTTGAGGGGGAGTATTGAGATAGAAATAGTTCCTTAGTCTATTTGTATATTTGGCCCGTAGTTATCATCATCATCAGGCCCAAGGCCCATGTAATTTGTATTTATACTCTTATGTTGTGAATAATTAGCAACAAGATTATTTTCCGAATAATTACACATTCTTTTACAATATATAATTATGATTGATATTGTATATACATTTTAACTTCTTTTTTAGAAATAAAAATATAAACCCATTTTAATATATTTTCTATATATTATTCATATCTTAACCTTTTTCATTAAGTTCTATTTAAATTAGGAGCTTGCTACATGTACCCCATAATTTATAGGGAGAAAGACCAAAGTAGGACTAAAACATTGAAAATATACCAAAATAGGACTTCAATGTTTTTATTCCCGAAATAGGACTTACATTACCAAACATGGTCATATACATTACCAAAAAAGTATAATAATTTGCACATGTACACTGCCACATTACCACAATGCAAAGTCACATTACCACAGTGCAAAGTCCTATTCCGGGAAAAAAACATGAAAGTCCTATTTTGGTACTTTTCTCTATGTTTTAGTCCTATTTAGGATGATTTCTAAAATTTATACCTCATTTGTACACTAAAGATATGCATTAATATTTTGATGGCTCACACTGATACAAAGTGTTGATGCTCTAACAAAAATTTACACTGAAACTAAGTATTGGTGCGTTAACAAAATTTAGCATTAAAAAACAAAAATATTAGGTACAAATTATTGTTCAAATTAAAGTGTTCTCTACCCGTTTCTCAATTCTCATGAACCCAATCACACACGCGTGTCCTTCACTCCGCAGTTCGGCGATCCAGGCTTTGATCCAGCGGCCTCGCCGCTTCTCTGATCCAGCGGCTTCAACGATAGATACGACTATACAACCAGAGTCGACTGTACAGCTGTCGATACGGCTTCAGCGATCGTTCTTCAGCTTTGTTCAACTCTATCCAGCGTCACGCGTTCTTCAGATTCAAACCAGGTATTTATTTTAGATTTCACACTGGGAGTTCGATTAAAACTTTCGGCTTTAGAGATAGGAATTATTAACTTGGTGAATATTTGATTTGGTTACCATTTCACTGCAAACCATGTGTTTGTTTTCGATTTCAGACGTGGGTTTTGATTAATGTGGTAAATATTTGCTCCGATTTACTTGTAGTTCGAACACAGTTCCATATTTGAGCAGGTTCTCGTATGAACCTCTTTTCATATTTGCTCTGTTTAGGGACAAATATTTGCTCAGTTTGGATTTGTGATCTGATTTGCATTTGAGAAATATCCTAAAGCTTTTGTTTGAGAATCCATAATTTTAGTTCTCAATTGAAGCAAAAAATATATTTTCTCAGTTTGTGACTTTATCTCGGGTATAATATTTATTTGGATAATAACTTTAGATTTTCATCTTCTCTTTTTGTAAGATATGGAACAAATTGCCAAAACATTAGAGCTTAATAGGTCAAAGCATCCATGATCGTGTACCCCTTGTAGCATCTTTAAACATAGTTATATTTAAACTTCTTTTGCAATTCAACAAACTTCTTTCTAATATGAGCACATTTCATGTAGAGTAGTACACAATTTTCTCATTTTTGGAATTATGCTGTTGAAGAAGTGCTTAATAAATGTCTTAGAAACCAATGATGGCTCATCCTATATCTAGACTATGAAAACTATTTTTTTTGTAAGATTCATGGTATAATATTGATGGTTTATATGGTATGTATTTTTAATTTGTAATCCTTTCTCATATAGAAATGCACTATTTGATTCTCTTTGGAATTTTTGTATGTATGGTTCCGTACTGATAAAGTACTTCAGTGTAGCCCATGTATTGTTTCATCAAGCTAAATTACTATAATTTGGTAAACTAATGTAACAAAAAAACTAAACTATATAATTTTCAATAGTTATATTTGTGAAACATATCTTTTCGATTTAAGTGCATTAATTTATTTAGATACGTAGTATAATGTAAGAAATAACATTAGTTAATGGATTCAAAATTGATCTTGGTCCATTTAAATTATGACTATTGAATATTCATTTACTCGTTTAGAATTTGATAAGTATTCAAATATCAATCAAATACCAATACCAATGAAAAATCTCATTTTAGATTCATTTCATATTCGGATTTGAATTAGTATTCATAAAAATTAAACAAATACTAATACAATTACTTTGGTATTCGAAATTACCCACCTTCCTTATTATTATTACTACACCTACAAAGTACCAAACATCCATGATTTCTACAAGCATCCCTCCTGCTCCAACTTCCTCCTATCCTCTATTCATAGTTCTTCCATATTCGCTGAAGTATTTATTTTTCTATGCTCATCTTCAATCTTCATTACTTTGAGATCCGTATTTCTTCAATCATATAGATATAAAAAAATAATGACTATTAGATGTTTTATTACCAACGACTTAATAAATTTATGGTCAAAGTTCCAGATTTGGTTCACTGCTCTACAGCTCTTTTATTTGCCCTGCATTTTCGAAGATTTGTATGAAGCACCATATTTTACTATCATGTTTCAATTAGATCGTTCCTCCCACCATCCGGGAAGATCTTCCCATTACGTGTTACAAAGCTTAAGAATTTTATTTTCCATTCAATTTATTTGATTGTCGGTGAAAAATTAAAAAATAAAATTTATATGGTAAAAACTACATAAGAAGTTCTACAAAAAAAAGAGGTGACATGACTATATAATTTTATGACATGAGTAGTGAAAATAAGCAAACTAAAAGCAACTCCAACGCATCTTGTAAAATTTAGTAAAGTGTATAAAAAGAAAGATATAGCTGGTACTGTGCATAAATTCGGTCTCTAACGGATCTTCTTTAAAATAGACCACAGTCTATTTTCCTTTTCTCGTCTTTCATAAATACACCGTACTGTAGAAAGTGTATTCCATTGTATTTTGTTTCTTTTCTCCATTTGTTTCATCCCTGCTCATCCCCTTTGCTGTCTTCCCCGATGCTTTTTGGAGGCCAACCCTAGGAGACAAAGATCGGATCAAGTGCATCTCTTTCCTGCAAAAAATTTCTAGAGGTATGAAGCATCTTCGATTGAGCAATTCTTTACCCGAAATTGCAACTATGGATTGCAAATTTTTTCTGCTGATTCCAACAACGATGTTTTTATTGCTTTTCCCCAATTTGTCTCCTGATTCTGTTCTTGACGGCATTAATTTTGCTTTTTTGTTGTTCTTTTTCGCTGAAAAAGTTTCTATCCATGGGTAACTTTTTTGCACATTTTCGGTCATGTGAGTTCTGCATATTTGCCATTGATTCTTCAAATGACTTCCAAAATCTTGAGCAATGAAGAACTAGAAGAAATTTTTGACAAAATAAAAGTTTTAATTTTTGATAAAATAAAAGTTTATAATAGTGATATAATAATAATAATAATAATAATAATAATAATATAGATGTCATGGTTGGAGTAGAGATAAAAAAATTGGAACCTAAAACACTGTGGAAGAGGTAAACTGACATTTAGCTTTTAATTTTTTACACTCCATTGGAGATGCTCTAAGTGAGTGAAGTAAAAAAAGTGAGTGATGTTTGGTCATATGAATAGTGTTTGAGAAGATCTTTCCTGGATAGAGGAACTCTTTATTTATTTCAATTTTTCAATCTTGTGTAACTATTTATTATCACGGCTGTGAATGTTTTGTTTTCATAGTGTGTTTTTTTCAGCTTTTTTTTTTAATATTAGGAATATCTATTAAGGAGTACTTTGAAATGTCTGATCTTTATTGAAATGTCTAATATATAAAAACTTAATAGATGCTTTTAGCAGTCAGAATGGGTACTTCTTTATTGGAGAGGTGAGAGCCTGCCCTTTTATTGTTCCTGCAGTTGGTTTTAGTTGGAATATTGACAGAGCAAATTGCATTTTTATATATGGATGGGTTCTTGCTTGAGTTTGTTTACGGCATCTACTCATCTAGGAAACTTTTTCTTGAAGATGACGAAATGATCTCCCCTTCCAAGGCAAAGTAGAACTATAGGGTTGGAGAGTTTTTCTTTCTTTTTTGAAATTAAGGACTGTGAGAGTTAAAAATCTCCTTTCTCTTTGTTATGATAGGCTGTGTTTGGATTGGTGAAATCGTAGGGAATGGGAAAAAGTGCAAAGGAAAATATTTTTTGTTTGGTTTGATTGTGGAAAATAGAAAGGAAATTCAAATTTTATTGCAAGGGTTTAGAATTTTGCACATATGTACATTTCTTAGTCTTTATAAAACAACAAAAACCAAGTATTTCTTAGCATTTATATTATAGAAAAGTATACATAAAATTAATTGGAACAAATATCTATAATTCACTTATTGAGTTTGAATCGCTTTTTATTTTCCACCAGTTTTCTCCATCAAGATTTGTCCTCTATTTTCTTCCATATTTTAGTTTCCGTGGAATTTGCTGAAGATCCAAATGGAGGTTTAAGGAACCTTATCAAACTATGTTAAGTATATATGCAATTATGCATCCANGTATTTCTTAGCATTTATATTATAGAAAAGTATACATAAAATTAATTGGAACAAATATCTATAATTCACTTATTGAGTTTGAATCGCTTTTTATTTTCCACCAGTTTTCTCCATCAAGATTTGTCCTCTATTTTCTTCCATATTTTAGTTTCCGTGGAATTTGCTGAAGATCCAAATGGAGGTTTAAGGAACCTTATCAAACTATGTTAAGTATATATGCAATTATGCATCCATTTCTTTTTCATAGGAGAGTGTGCTTGATACCACCATGACCTGTGTGAGGTCCACTAGAATCTGCTGGTCAAACTTTGTTTTGTTTAATCCTCCTTTCTCTTCCATCTTAGGTATAGATTTGCTTTTGGGAAGGAAAGATGGTGAAACTTAAAAAATAAAGTTCATATAGTAAAAAACTACATAAGAAGTTCTACAAAATAAGAGTTGACATGACTATATTATTTTATGAAATGAGTAGTGAAAATAAGCAAACTAAGTGAGTGAAGTTTGACCATATGAATAATGTTTGACAAGATCTTTCCCAGACAGAGGAAGTATTTATATATTCTAATTTTTCAATCTTGTGTAACTATTTATTATCACGGCTGTGAATGTTTTGTTTTCATAGTGTGTTTTTTTTCAGTTTTTTTAATATTAGGAATATCTGTTAAGGAGTACCTTGAAATGTCTGATATTTAGTTCTTAATACTCTGTATTACGTAGTATTTCTTAGGTGAAGGTAGTCAAACTCGAGATTCTACGTTGGATCACTAGGCTCAATAAAGATCGTAACTCGTAAGATCGTAAGATCCTACCTTTATATATAAATTAAAAAAAACTTGGACGCTGGGCAAAAAAGCCACTGCCATCTACCCTCTTGTAGAATTAAATATTGAAGCAAAAAAGCAAAATGAATTCAATTAAACATAGAAAAAAATTAATACTATAAATTAAAATTATACCTGGGTAAAAAAGTGAAAGACTCAAATCGTAAAGGAAGAGAAAGGCAGAAGGGTCGTGTGAAGTCAGAGATACTGCACAAGGTCTTCTTCGTAAATATATTTGTGTGCGTATATGAGAGAAGTTTAATTTATACGGGAAGAGTAGTTCGGAAGAGTCATCGGCTCATCGCTATAATTATCGAAGCGGCTTAACCAAGGGTTTGTAATTTCCGCAGGTAAAAGTTTTCCTAATTTCGATCGCCAATCCCATCCGATTCTCCGATCTTACGTTCCCAATCGCCGATCCAAACGATTCTAAGAGGGATTGTGATTTTAGCCACGATTCAGATCGGAATGGGCCTAGCGATCTGCTCTACAGCTCTTTTATTTGCCCTGTATTTTCGAAGATTTGTATGAAGCACCATATTTTACTATCATGTTTCAATTAAATTGTTCCTCCCACCATCCGGGAAAGATCTTCCCATTACATGTTACGAAGCTTAACAATTTTATTTTCCATTCAATTCATTTGATTGTCGGTGAAAAAATAAAAAAATAAAATTTATATAGTAAAAACTACATAAGAAGTTCTACAAAAAGAGAGGTGACATGATTATATAATTTTATCAAATGAGTAATGAAAATAAGCAAACTAAGTGAGTGAAGTAAAAAAAAGTGAGTGAACTATTTATGTATTTCAATTTTTCAATCTTGTGTAACTATTTATTTTCACGGCTGTGTATGTTTTGTTTTCATAGTGTTTTTTTTCCAGTTTTTTTAGTATTAGGAATATCTATTAAGGAGTACTTTGAAATGTCTGATCTTTATTGAAATGTCTAATATATAAAAACTTAATACATGCTTTTAGCAATCAAAATGGGTTCTTCTTTATTAGAGAGGTGAGAGCCTGCCCTTTTATTTTTCCTGCAGTTGGTTTTAGTTGGAATATTGGCAGAGCAAATTGCATTTTTTTATATGGATGGGTTCTTGCTTGAGTTTGTTTACGGCATCTACTCATCTAGGAAACTTTTGCTTGAAGATGACGAAATGATCTCCCCTTCCAAGGCGAAGTAGAACTATAGGGTTGGAGAGTTTTTCTTTCTTTTTTGAAACTAAGGACTGTGAGAGTTTAAAATCTCCTTTCTCTTTGTTATGTTAGGCTGTGTTTGGATTGGTGAAATCGTAGGGAATGGGAAAAATTGCAAAGGAAAATATTTTGTGTTTGGTTTGATTGTGGAAAATAGAAAGGAAATTCAAATTTTATTACAAGGATTTAGAATTTTGCACATATGTACATTTCTTAGTCTTTATAAAACAACAAAAACCAAGTTTTTCTTAGCATTTATATTATAGAAAAGTATACATAAAATTAATTGGAACAAATATCTATAATTCACTTATTGAGTTTGAATCGCTTTTTATTTTCCACCAGTTTTCTCCATCAAGATTTGTCCTCTATTTTCTTCCATATTTTAGTTTCCGTGGAATTTGCTGAAGATCCAAATGGAGGTTTAAGGAACCTTATCAAACTATGTTAAGTATATATGCAATTATGCATACANGTTTTTCTTAGCATTTATATTATAGAAAAGTATACATAAAATTAATTGGAACAAATATCTATAATTCACTTATTGAGTTTGAATCGCTTTTTATTTTCCACCAGTTTTCTCCATCAAGATTTGTCCTCTATTTTCTTCCATATTTTAGTTTCCGTGGAATTTGCTGAAGATCCAAATGGAGGTTTAAGGAACCTTATCAAACTATGTTAAGTATATATGCAATTATGCATACATTTCTTTTTCATAGGAGAGTGTGCTTGATACCACCATGACCTGTGTGAGATCCACTAGAATCTGCTGGTCAAATTTTGTTTGGTTTAATCCTCCTTTCTCTTCCATCTTAGGTAAGATTTGCTTTTGGGAAGGAAAGATGGTGAAACTTACTATGATTGCCCGTGTTACCGATGGGCTGCCTTTAGTGGAGGGCTTGGATGATGGGCGTGATGTACCAGATGCAGACTTCTACAAACAACAGGTCAAACAGCTGTTCAAGAACCTTTCTCAACGACATAATGGAGATTCTAGAATGTCAGTTGAAACTGGACCTTACGTATTCCAGTATCCTTTGTGTAGCCAAATTACTCTTCATATTCAATTTTGTACTTCCTCCACCCCAAAATAAACTTCATGGTTTGATTCCACTGAGTTTTAAAAGTGTTGGAAAATGAAAAGTGTATGTTTAGAATTTGTTTAGAAGAAAGAGAAATGATTTAGGTTCTTTTCTTTAAAAGGAAATAGGGTAAGTGTTAAGTGTATTTTGGGACGGACAAAAAGAGAGAGGTGTAAAGTTTGTTTTGGGATGAAGGGAATATTTTTGTAGTATTGATGTTTCTACAATGCGACTTTCTTAACATAGATTTTCAGTTATATAATTGAAGGACATGTTTGTTATCTAACAATGTGTGACCGTTCTTATCCCAAGAAACTTGCCTTTCAATATCTGGAAGACCTTAGGAATGAATTTGAACGTCTCAATGGGAGTCAAGTCGAAACAGCAGCTAGACCTTATGCATTTATTAAGTTTGGTAAGACCTTGAAGTTCATTGTGCTTATTTTCTATTTAGTTATTTTTTCATTCGTACTGATTTTCCTCTCTTCCAAATATGCATAAAGATACATTTATTCAAAAGACAAAGAAACTCTACCAGGACACAAGAACTCAGCGCAACATCTCAAAGTTGAATGATGAGCTTTATGAAGTTCATCAAATAATGACTCGGAATGTACAAGAGGTTCTTGGTGTTGGTGAAAAGTTGGACCGTAAGCTAATAATCCATTTGCAGACGCTGTTACCATTTTATTCATTTCTTTTTCTGGTTAATAGCAGTGATTACGTAGTACAGAGTATTATTTATTATATTGTTCATATGCTCCGCTTCTGCAGACGTTAGCCAGATGTCCAGCCGCTTAACATCAGAATCTCGCATTTATGCCGATAAAGCAAAAGATTTAAATCGTCAGGTTAGTTATGATACTGGCTGTGAATGTAATGCGTTTTTCCATTTAAATTACTATTGCCCTAAATCTGATTTTGACCCAACAAATACAGTGCTTTTGTTTTAGGAACCTGTTTAAAACATTACTCCCTATTAGGCATCCCTGTGATTTTTTGCATTTCTCATTTAGTTCATCTCAGACAACCTTAGTAAAAAAATGTCTTGTCCACAGAACTCTACTGTTCCTTCTCCATGTCATTCAAAAAATGCTCAAAATTTTCTGTCAAGGAGAGGCTTAAGTGGAAGGGAGTAGCACTTGGTGTTAACTCTCCTAATACTTTTCACTAGTGCTTCCAATGAGTTACAGAAAGTTCACATGGAAAGGAAAAAAAACTATAAAGATTAATAACAAAAAACAATGTAGGGAACTTAAACAAAAAAAACAATACTCCATCCATCTTTACACTTTCCTTTTTCTGGATGTCTAAAAATCTAACTTTACATTTCTCCACTATTTTTTCGGAAACAAATATCTAGATACGATTGGTTCTTTCTTTCAAATAAATTTAAACGGCACTTTTTATCAACTTTTTAATACTCTTTCTCGGTTTTTGTGAAGTCAAACTGTCAGGTTCATTTGTAGGAGGTATATAGACATATTAAAAACATTTCTATTTGATATACTCTAGGCTTTGATTCGGAAATGGGCCCCAGTAGCGGTTGTCCTCGGGGTTGTTTTTCTCCTACTTTGGGTGAGGAAGAAGCTATGGTGATGAGCCCTCCGCTAAAGCGCAAAGATATCAAGAGTCACTCCATTGACTATTCACTCGTCATTTGGATCCTTGCAGTTGGGTACCTTAAAATTATGTACGACGTTCGGAAAATATTGTTTATAGGTTGCAACTCATTACGAGAGACCAGTTTTCAAAGTATTAGAGACTCAAGAGATTTTGTCATTCCTTCATACACAACTTGAAGCAAAAGAATTGTATTTAAATTACAGAAGGATGCCCAATCTTGCTACTACCTCAGTCCCTTATTTCTTTTATTTGGGAGTGCATTTTGTGCTTGCTAAATTATTTGCCCTTCCTTCCCAACTACTCCCACTGTCCCTTGAACAAGGTCCATTATATGATTTCACAGAGTTTAATATAAGTAAAAATGGATGATCAAAGGCTAATATTCTAAGAGCCATCATATTGAAAGCCTACAATTGGAATTATTACTAGCCACATCTTTTCCTTGAAAGAAAACGTGAGAAGTGTGTACTTTATTTTGAGATGAATGTAAAAAAAAGTGATTTGTTTGTTTTAGGTTTGGGGAGTATTGTGCTGGTGATTTTCGTGTCATCGGTTATTTCTTGTATTTGGAATTACTTGGATTGGACGAGAATTTTAATAGACGTTAATGAGTTAGGTAGTATGGAGTGTACCCTCGATGATATTACAAATTTCTTAGCAGAAGTTTGCAGGTGATAGATAGCCTTGGTAAAAGGGTCCAAGGGAAGGTAGCTCCTAGCGGGGTCTAAGGACCATAGCTCCTTGTTGGGGTTTTTGAACATCATTCATTTATTTAAATTCCTTAGATTTTTGTAAACGTAGTTGAAATAAAGAAGCATTCGAATGTCTGAAATTATATATTTAGCGATGATAACTACCATTAACATTTACAAAAGGATGCATACATTCAAATGTTTGATCTTTAATATTCAAATATTTTGCGGTTAGACGCGATAATTCGTGGTATAAATCGTTGAAAGCAATGTTTAAACCATAATCACTACATACATGTGAATGCCTTGGTCAAAACATTCGAATATTTTGTGTATAGTTATGTTGTTTCGTTAATAGACGCGTCGGATAAATTTGTGCTGTAAGTATAATTTTAATGTATGTCTCAGAGAGATAAAAGTCTCATACTTGTTCTAGATACTTATAGTCTGATTGAAGTATTTCGGTATATTCTGAAATAGCTTTAATTTGAAAGTGAATTTCACGTAGTTCGTTAAGTCTATCAAGTTTTTTTGCCTTCAACATATATCATTCGCTTCTAACGCCGTCACACAAGGTTGCTTCTCCCTGATTTCCAACACTTTGTAGGGCTTCACTACACCTCATAAGGTCATCATACCCCTTCATGGTTCACTAGCTCTAATGACTTATTGAGAGAACAAAAAGACACTTCACTTTAAAATATGGTACTCCCTTTGTTCCTCTTGAATCTTTACGTACATTATTTACATACTTAAACTTTATATACGTTGTTTTCCTATTTTTGTTACTCATTTTATGATATAATATAATAATGTTATCTCTAGTTTTATAGATATTTTGATATACCTTTTAAATATATATAATTTTTATTTTTTAGTTTTACACCTATAATTGGGAAAAAAAGTTGGTCAAACATCGTAATGCGAGTAAGTGATAACCCGTACATTTCAGCAAAATTCTAATTATGGGAATGAGTATTAAACATGAAACCAAAAGGTACCCTTACGGTGGAGGGGCTAAAAGAATACAAGAGTTGAGTCCTCCAAAGCCAATTGAATTAGACAGCGCCACTTTTATGCCCAACCGCTCCTTCGTTGTGCCTACCACCACATTTGTGTCCTAAAAAAACCATTTTGTTTTGAAAATAAATAATCGTTTCAGAAAATAATATTCTCTTCGACTCAAATTAATTTACCGATCTAATTTTTTACAATCTTCATATTATCACTTTGATCGTAAATAATTATATTTGCACATTTATAAATATTACAAGTACAAAAACATGATATTTCGAAACTAGATCTTTAAATGAATCCAATGACATTAGTTTAACATTAAAATCAATGTTAGTTAGAAAATTAGGATGGTTTGTAAATATTCAACAAAAAAAGAAAAGTTAAACATGTAAAGTAAATTAGGACGGAGAGACTAGTATTAAGTAAAAGCGAAGAAAGATTCTTTGGTACGTAAGAATGTCAAGTCTCAAGCATGGCTTGACATTCTTTGGAAAATAACATTCCATACACATCATGTATATTCTTGGTTGGTTCTTTTTTTCATGTGATGTGATTCTAACATACCAAAAAGCCAAAAGGGGGTTAAGATTTTAGGGAAGGAGAGGAATACAAAGCCTTTGTCAGGATTGTCAAGGTTGAGATTTGGATGGATCCACCCTGTTTGGATAGCCTATCATGTTCAAAAACCAAAAACCAATCTCATTTATCAATTCAATTTTGGTGTAGAATTTTAGAGTGAGGTCGAAATTCTTACCTTAATCGTCGCGATCGCTTCCACTGCACCAGCAGCCCCTAAGAGGTTACCAATCATAGATTTTGTAGAGTTCATTTTAAGCTGTAAAAAAGGGACAAAAATCATATTCAGAATGACAGTGTGCCCTTGCAAAAAGTTCTGCTACTCTATAGACGGTTCAAATTAAATCGCCTCTAAAATAACTTTAGAGAATATCATACGGACCGTCCGTTGAGTTACTAACTCTAGGAACGAGAGAAAATGAAAATTACTACTTAGCCCCAGAGATGACACTAAAGTTGACACCACCAGAGACAATCACACACAGATAGTTATTGTATGTGAGAAATCATTGTCTATGAAATATTTTCGGTGTCAACCTTGGTGTATTCTGTGGTGTCACAGTAACAAGACTCGGAGAAAATTACCTCGGGGTTATTTCCGAAACAGCGAATTATAGCTTCATACTCTCTGAGATCACCCGTTGGGGTAGAACACGCATGAGCGTTGATATAATTGACGTCTTCTCTCTGCACTCCACACTGAGCCAAGGCCTTCTCAATGCACATAACCGTACCCGCTCCTGATCAATCAATATACACAATGTACACGCAAACAAACATCAATGGTTACTCAAATTTCTCGTGCTTACGCAATAGTTAAATGACCCGTCGTGTGGTAGTACCATTTGGGTGCGGATCGGTCACACTGTAAGCGTCGCAGGTGAAACTTCCACCTAGAATCTCCGCATATATCTTTGCCCTTCTTTTCTGTCACATTCATCACATTACCATATAAATAAAAAGAGAAGAGTCTTCGGTTTAGTCACTCCTCTAATATTGCTAAGAGGCGCGCGCACACACACACACACACCTTAGCGTGTTGCAGTTCTTCCAAGAGTAAGACGCCGGCTCCTTCCCCCAAAACAAATCCGTCTCTTTCCTTCTCCGTCATGTCACAACAAGAACTTGTTCAGTAACAATTGTCAAGAAACCAACTCAACCAAAAGTTCAATCGTTTGCAATTGCAGGTCGGGAAAAGTTTTATACTCTATAAGAATAAAGAATAATGATACTTAAGACATTCAAAATACCATATCCCAAGGACGAGAAGCCCTTGCTGGATCATCATTCCTCTTTGAGAGGGACTGGCATGCAATAAAGCCTCCCAATCCTATAGGAATAAATGTTGATTCTGATCCACCACAAAGCATCATATCCTGAAATGAATCATGCAATGAATTAAGTCTATTACATTGTTGGTTACCAAATTCTAGGTAAAACTAAGTAATGAAAAAAGGGTCTTACTGTATTGCCTCTAACAATGTGATTTGCAGCACTTAGGATGCAGAAGTTGCTTGTTGCGCCGTTTGCACTTATAGCGTAATTCGGCCCCATCCAACCCTTCATAGTATAAATAAGAGTAGTCCAAAAAGTCTTTATATGTTTCTTTGATTTTCTCCTGTGTGTGTCTGTCCCAGTGTATTCGTCCAGTTTGACTGAAAAAAGTAGGAAAGACAATACACTGGGACAGAGGCAGTACCATTTAGGATGGAATGTGAAGATAGATAGACGACTCACCAAATCCATTGCAAGAATGGCAGACCCAATGTTGGGGGAACCGAAAGGGACGCTGAAAGGGTTCATTTTTTTGTAGGACACCCTTGAGGCCTCTATGGCGTCACAAGAAACCTTGAGACCGCCAAGCGCGGAGCCGATCAGAACTCCACATTTCGCTCTGTCCAACTCTGGCATTATGTCTTCGGTCACTCCCCCATCCACAAGAGCCTTCTTGCCAGCAGTTAGCATGTAAAGCGTAGACTTGTCCGCTCTATTCGCAAGTTTAGGGGCAACCCACCCTTCAGCTGAAAAACTCTTTATTTCCCCTCCAATTCTCTGTCCCAAACAAGAACTCGTAAAGAAATAGAGCATTGGCAAGATATATAATAGAGTAGGGAGAGGAATTTTCGAGAACAAAGCTAGAGGCACACCACATTTGACACCAGTGTGCCTCACAGACACTGTCACATAAGTCGTGAAACTATCTGCGAGGCACGTACTGCAATAGAGTAAAACACGTTTGGAATTTTCAAATGTGCGTACGGTGGGGAATTCGGAACAGTCGAAGGACTGGATGTGAGTGATGCCGCTGACGCCGTGGAGGAGACGATGGTAGAACAAGTCCGGATCGTCCCCTATCGCCGATACCACACCAACTCCTGTAACCACCACTCTCCTTTTCGTCGACCTCCTTCGTGCCTCCACTTCTTCCTCCTCCTTTGCTGCTTTCACAGCCACGCCCCGTCTTCTTCCTCTCCCTGTAACATATACGTTCAAATGTAAATCGAGATCGATATTAATCTAATGCACTAAAAGAAAACGAGATCGATATGAACGGTGTCAAAGACCTTGCGGTCTTGAACCGTAGTTTATTTTTACAAATGGAAGGTCACACGTTCGAATGTGTTTCGGTAGGTAGAGAAATTATGCATGCAGAGAGACGGATATTGTATTGTGATAGAGTTAATGCTACTCGAAAAAGAGACTAATGGTCAAAATATTGCATTAGAATCGTTGCAACATTTGCAAAACTGAAAATGCATGCGCACCGATTGTGTTGGTTGTGGGAAAATTGCAGCGGAAGTCCGGCTGGGGTACTGCAACAGCCCGCCGCGTTGTATAATAGAGCGGAGACGACAACGAAGAAGAAGACGCCATTATATTGCTTGGGGACGTAAAAACAGAAAACCTATACATTTTTAAAGGGTGTAGAGAAATTAAGAGAGGGATGAATGAATGTTGATGTGGTTCGGATTGTGAGGCATAATGCAGGCGGCATGGGATGCTGCACTCAGCCGCTTTCCCGCCCGCTTAGCTTCTTCCTCAACTTCACCGTTTCCATATGTCCATCTAAAGCCTGACCCAAGACGAGACATATATATATATATATATATATATATATATATATATATATATATATATATATATATATATATATATATAATATATGTGTGTGTGTGTGACATTTGTGGGATGGAGTAATGTGACGACATAAATTTAAACCAATTACCGATTGATCATATCTTTCTCATATTATAATTCTTTTCTACTTTCTGGGTTTCCATATCCTCCTGCTTAACCAGTCTATCGCTGACCGTTTGTGTTCCTCATTCGATTTTTTAGTAAAAAATTTGTAAATTTTGATTTTTGATATATAGAAAATAATTCTCTGCGTTTGTTGGAAACAGAAAAAGGAAACTGGATCGAAAAAAGAAACTAAATCCCTATGGCATTCGGTTTAGTATATTTCTTAGTTTTTCTTTTTCTTGTTTTAGAAGAAATAGAATTAATGCAAGTTTACTTATTTGTTTTAATCTCTTCTTATATAAAGAGGGTTAATTTTTTGTATTCTCCAAGACAATTTAATGCAAATATATTTTCTCCTATTACTTTAGTGTTTGTTTTGTTAAAACATTGTTTCAATATAAATGTAATATCAATATTTTCGTTATGAAACATAGTTTTGAACTATTTAATTTTCATAAAATGTATCCATGTATAAATATAGAGACTGAAAATGTTAAATAAGAAGTGAGTATAATATTCCTTGGCAGATTTTAAATTTCACCATATACCTTCATTCAGGTTTTAAAAAATATGTATAGACAAATAATCCTACGCAGCACCAAAGAAACAGCACACCGCAACTTTTAGAGGGAAATAATCAGTAACAGTTTTCAGTGAGAAAATGAGTTGATAATCAGGGATATTTACTACTAATACGTTTCAACAGAAGAAGTGAAAAAAAAATAGTAATGAGACTCAAATTCAAGAGATAGGAGGGGGGGAAGGGGGGGGAGATGGCAATATCCCTACGGTAATAGGCATATCTCTTCTCAGATCTTCACTGGTAGTACATGAGCTGCTGTGCAGCTGCGACACTCTGGAAGCCACCGTCTAATATGGCCTGGCTTGCTCCTGCAACTCCTCCAATGCCCATTGACCCAAATTGATTCAATGGGTGTTGACTTAGGCCGCCATGTATTCCTCCCGCCATCTTGCTCATCCGCCCGTACATCATGACATCGGCTGCTGACATGGCCTGCAAGGGTTCTGGCGGCGGAAGTGGGTTCGACACTGTTCCTGGCGGTGTTGGTTTGTTTCCCCACGAGCACTATCATGTGTGTAGGAAAATTTTTCAAAACGAAAAAAAATGTAACATTACAGATCACTCAAATCCTTGGAGATGAATAAGTGTGAAAATCTATATTCTGAAAGAGCTTAGATATAATACTCAAAAGCTTTTTTTAAAAAAAACATCATGTCCCTGTAAAATTACTCAATAATAATTAAAGACAAACCTTAATTTGTTTTCCACTAAGAAGTGATGGAGAATTTCCAATCTGAATAGCCAGCGCAGCCTCTTCATGGGTGCTGTATCTCACAAAACCAAATCCCTTATCACGTTGGACACGAACTTCCTCAATTGACCCTGCACCCAGGGCATGGAAGTGCCGATGAAGGTCAAGCTGTGTTACCTGCATATATGTATCAATGTATGGATACCAATAATGAGATTGCAACATTAAAGTTAGAGGGAGAAGTAAGCTCTGTGCTTAAAAAGGCTATCAATGTATGGATACCAATAATGAGATTGCAACATTAAAGTTAGAGGGAGAAGTACGCTCTGTGCATAGAAAGGCTGGTTCAAAGGTGTAGAGAATGCCAGAATTGCCCTCAATCATAATTGGAGTAGAACATTGTGATATATGTATGTGCTAAAATAGCACATCTTGTTCTAGTAAATGAAAAGACCGTTCGTATGTGGGGAGGGGGCATTGAGATATAGGAAGACATAGAAAGCCTGCGTTTGTTAGCTACTAGAATAAGAGAAAGTTTGCTTGCCTCAGGAGCAAGATTTCCCACATACACAGTTGTGTATTGTGGGTTATTCTCAGGAGCTTCACTGTTTTGTGCTTCTTTACCGTCATCTGCAAAAGCGAAAGATACATTTCATTAACCAGACAGCTATCCAAATTAAAGAGCATATTCATAGTTCGAATAACAGAGTATCCAAAATCTCTCATTCAAGAAGGTTATCCAAAGGTTTCATTTGTTAATGCTCAAGACATTGTGATCATATACTTCTTCCATTCCAATTGTAGTGCCCAGTAATGAAGTAAAAACTGTGTAGAGATTTATGCAGAGAGGAGAAAAACAACATATTCCACAATCCACATAATACTTTCTATAAGTTGAAACGTGCAGCATTAGTTGGGACAGACCAAAAAGGAAAACATGCACACCAAATTGGGAAAGAGAAGTATTGAAATACAACCTCGGTCCAAAAAAAACAAATACTTGTGTTTCATCAATGAATATATTTTAAATTTTGCCAATGATAAGGAAAAACTCCAATGCTTTGTCAATCCCGCTCATATTTTTATTTTACTTGTTCATTTGGAACTCAGTTTTGGGGGGGAAAATAACATCAATGTTGATCCAATTTAACTTCTTTTGTAGAAATAGGACTTTATGGGGGCGGAAGAAGTACAGAAATTATGAATTTGCAGTTAAAATATTCCACCTGATGAGCCATTTGTTAGCTCTACAACACTTCTTGCATCAGAGCTCTGTATATCATCATTGGAATTAGCACCTTTTGTAGCCCAGTTACAACGAATCTGTCTACTGCCAAGCCATTTCCCTGGAAAATAAAAACCAAAATTAACAAGCCAGCAACAACTATTCAAATCTCCTTCCACAAACAAGGATTGTTCTCTCACAAAAATACAATCTGTAATTTGATATGAACAATAAGTAGGTTCAGTTTGTCCTACCTGTTACATCATTGATGGCACTTTGGGCATCCTGAAGATTATAACAGAGAATTAGACTAGCACATAAGAGTACATGACCTAAAAGCAAAGAGCATCTAAAGATAAATGTACGTACCTGTTGGTTTCTGAAAGAGACAAATCCAAAACCCCTAGACCGTCCAGTCTTCTGGTCCCACATGACCCTTGCATCACTAGGAGATTGAAAAAGGTCAGACTTAAAAACATAGCTAGTTACATAAAATAAAATAAAAAACTCATTTGTCTCCTTTTGTGCAAGTTTTTTTTTCTAAATTTAATGCAACTTTTTCTTCTAACAGATTACTGACTCTCAAAATAGACATCACATTACAAATGGGGTGGTGGGTGAATTCGGAGAGCATTCGATATAGAACAGGAAGGAAAGAATAGAATGCAAAATGACACTTACGAACAGCTTGGGTAAACAGAGAAGCAAGCAAATAACATGGCATCAGTAACTTCATGGCTAAGGTCACCCACAAATATATTGTAATGACCTGGAAGATGATAAGATTCCATTACACCAGATTTTGAAAAATGATTATTAACTGAAATAAAATTGTAGTACTAGTTAAGAAATACAGACTTGAAGTATCTTCTCTCTGAGTACTGGTGTATGCCCAGTTAACTTTAATAGGCTGGCCAAACCTGTATATAACTGAATGAGAATCACCGGAAAAGAGAATTGTGTAATTAACAGAAATGACTGATTTCTACTTACAGTTGCCTCCCATTTAGTGATAGTATAGCCAAAGAAGCAAATCTACGATCATAATAATGAACGAACCCATAGGATGACTGCACAGAGAGTAAACATTTCAGTAAGCAAGGACTAGAGAAAAACATTACAGGGACAAAAAAGAATAATATGCAGTTATGCACTTGTGCACTTATCAGTAAAATGAATTCCACGGTATTGGAAAGTTGAAAATATCAGAAATTACATTTTCCTTTCTTATAAGCTTGCAACTTTCAACCAAACCAGCATTTGAGAAAACTTCCTGCAAAAGTAGTTCAGTCACCTGGGGGTGAATATTCCCAACATACCTGCATTTTCAAAAAGTAAAAACACTGAGATTTTTAAAATAAAATTGAAAATTGAAAATTTAACAAAAAATTAGAAGAATTTCCTCCAGCTAATGAATTAGAAAAAGAAAATGCCGATCCCCTCATAAATAGTGATGAAAGACTTTCAAAAAGATGAAACAATATGGGATTTGCTTAATTCTAGACAAATTCACCATTGAGCATCATAAAATTCTAAAGTTGCAAATATTCAGAAAGCATCAAACAAAGAGGTCATCTTTCTCAATTTGTGACTTATATCCCGCACACACATGAACCAACAAACATTAAAAAGGAACAAAAGAAAGAAAATCAAGGGAAAAAGTCCCAACACTCACACACTACGACATGTGCTTGGATCAAACCCAGGAGGCAGATTTCCACTTGGAATGGGCTCAATCTGCAATATGTAAAAAGATAAAAAAAAATAAAAATCAAAAACCTATTCTACATGCACATATGCTTTCTGACCCACGCCAGCTTAGAAAAAAAGTAAATCTCCCAATCCCCCAAAAAAAGAATCAGAAAACATCCAATGTTTTCCATCATAAAATGAATTCTCAAAATGCAGTATGGGAAGAAAAGAAAGAGGAATCAACAACATATGCCAATATAAATCTAAACACTGAATATCCGCGCCGTAAATTAAATTTATTTGCAATCTCTAGATACTAAACCTAGGGCATAAGTGCATAACCAAGTGGTATGTGTTAAAAAAGCCTCCATACATGATGCATTTTGAGCTGTCAACCAATTTTTGTTGATCATTAAGAATTGGTAAGTGTTAATTAAAAATCAAAATAGGAAAGGTGTAAATTTGCACTTTGCACACCCTTTAGAGTTCTTAATAAAGTCAGACAGTTTAGTGTAACTAGGAAAGATATTAAAGTTGTCCCCTTCGGCATTTAAAGCTAGAATTGTTTTGACCATCAGAATAAAACAAATTGAAGGACACTGAGATCACTGGCAATATGCTTCGTCTAACAATGACAAATAATTCCACTATTTATGAGGAAAACTGCACAGAACCATCACATTTTCTGACAATCACTCCCATTTGTCTCAGTTGAACACTTGAACTAAGCATCAATTATTTCAATATAGCGTGTGATCAATAACTAATCAACCAGGCACTAAATTATCATGCTCATGAAAAACTAAGAAATACAAATAAAAAAAACGGAACAAGCAGGTTTTGATCTATTAACGACCAGGCTTTTGAGTATTCATGGAAAATAAAGCTCTTGTAATCTCAATCCTAAGAACAAACGCAACAAAGAACATTTTGTCTCGATCAAAGCACAGATGCGAGAAACAGCGAACATAAAATCAAATAACGATGCAGCAGCTCCCGCATCAAATCCTCCTCGACAATACGCTGAACTATTGATCCGAACAAAAAAATTTCATGAATTTCAAAGACAAAAAAGAGAAATCGAACCGGTGGAGCAGCTATGAGGCCAGGATGGTAGAGAGGCTGTTGTTGAAGAAGGGCTTGTTGCATCAAGGCCTGCTGCTGCTTCAGCCTCTGATGTTGCATTTTCTCAATCACCGATCGATGAACGGAGATGAGAGCGCGGTAGGGTTTGGATGGAGAATGGAAGGGAGAAGAAGAAGAATGCCCTAGAAGAACTGAGGTAGGAAAGAAAAGAAAGAAAGAAAGAAAAATAGAGCTCTGTTGGTAGGAGAGAATGTAATGAATGAATTATTTGGGGATTTGGTATTGGTGGTTCCCCCGTTCGTATCAACACCACCAATCATCAACCTCAAGTCAAAAATACAAAAGGTTAAGAAACAAATTCACAAAAATCCTCCAAAATATTGCTCCTATGTACTACTTCCTCCGTCCCTAAACATTTGTCACACTTATATTCCCGAGACAAAATATCAAGTATTTTAAATTCATTTTATTTAAATATTGGTATAGAAATAAAAAATAAAATTTACATATCAAAAAACTACATGAAAATTTCTTCGAAATAAGAGGTGTCAAGAATATTTTATTTTATCAAATAACCAATAAAAACATAGAAATAAACAAAAGTTCCCGCGACTGCTGAAAAAACAAACGTTGCATATAATTTGGGACGGAGGGAGTAAATTTTGTTATAAGAATTATTGGGTACCTCTAATTTTAAAAATATATTGCCACGTACCTCTAATTTTTCTAAAATTTACCAATGAGGGATTTTTTGTCCTTCTGTCAAATGCTCTGTTAGACTTAGACCCCCAACACATCCCTTTTATTGAAAATTTGCGCTAAATAGTACTACCTTCGTCCCAAAGTATTTGTCCACTTTCATTTTTACACACCATCTAACGCACTTCTTTAATCCATTTTATCTTGTAATTTGTATATTAAAAAATTATAGAAATTATATATTAATAATCTATATGTTAAGACAAATCAAACAAGATCACACATGACTATATTTAGGCTTACGCATTGAGAGAATTTGATGAGTCAAAGTGCTTGGATGAACAGTTCCAGAAGTAAAAAAGTGGACGAATATAGCGGGACGGAGGGAGTACTAAAGCATCTATCATTTTCCAATGTAGTATTTAAACTTTTTTATTCCTTAAATAGTACTTAAATAATGTCTAGTGACAGGAACAACGTTCAGTGATGGTGGACATTTAGTTTGGACAATGACTAGTGGCGGTGGACATTTATTTGAACAATAAACAGTCGACAATGATCAGTAGTACTACTGATGGTGTAAATATAGCGGGGTGGGTTAACCGGGTTTGACCTGGACACACTCGACCCGTAATATAAAACACACAACAAGAACACAAAGTATGACCTAGACCGGGTAAATCTCCTCAGTCCGAATTATATTTCTTACTCTATCTCAAGAGTGAACTTTAGTGAGAGAAAAATTGGATCCCCTCCCCTATCCAATATTATCATATTTATAGAGGAGGATTTGTGACCTTCCCCTGTTCATCCATGGACAAAATAGGAAGCTCGTGGGAAGGCCACCGTAGATAATGGGAGCACTGTACAATCATGGACTTGCCACCAATACAACCAAAAAGCACTGTTCAATCAAAGACTAAAATGGATATTCTCAATCCAATCAACCCTGCAAAATGACAAACATCCCTTTCACTGTATGCCTCGTGATGGATGAGCGGCGGGGTGTTCCCTTGACCTCTGACGTGGTTCCTCATGCCTAAGAGACTGAACCAATGTTAACCAAGTAAAGTGATATGACCGGTCACCTTTTCTGAAAGGTTACCCGGTCATTTCTTGCGCTCAACCCGTCTCTTTGGTCTTTTAGAATTCTTCACAACATTAGGTGATATTTTGGCTATCGCCCAAAATGTGACCGGTCACTTTTTTAGTGGAAGTGACCGGTCAACTTTTGACCCGTCCCAATCGAAGAGTTAACCTCATTTGGTGACTTAAGAAAAGTGACCGGTCATGTTTTGACCTGTCCCTTTTGGTTATCCGGGTCGGGTATAAGGATATACCCATCAACTACATTGGGGGAAAAACATATAGTTCTACATTTGGAAAGTCACTATGTTTTAGTACTATTTAGGTAAATTTCCCCCTTTTATTTTATAGAAATCATCATATGTAGCACACACCCAATATTACACATATAGCACTCCTTATTGTTTTTCACACATTTGGCTATTTATGGCTATTTATGTAGCCCTCTAAGACACCCTTTATTTTTTCACACATTCGACAATGTGAACACATAATTTGAAATCAAAGGAAAAAAGGGCTGCCACATTTGCAAACTTACTATGATCGCATCCACTACTCTCCGCAATTTCCTTCAAACTAGTCCAAGACTTTCGCCTCCTTTTCCTACCTGTGCCATTGTTACTTTGATCAATAACATCTTCCCCAGTCGTAATAGTATTATTGGTAACAGTGGTAGCATGCCCAGATCCAATGGCCTTCCCTAATCCTCCAGATTTCATCCTCCTTCTCTTTCTCTTTGAGTCCAAAAGACTAATGTCCACCCTCATTGACGATGAGTCGAAGGATCATCTGTTGGTTCAACGGGCGCACCTCGTGCAATCTCGTTATCATTACTATTACTTTGATTGGGAGATGACTTTCTTGCCTCTTCAGGTAGGGGTAAGGTCTCCGTACATCCACACTCCCCAAACCCCACTTGTGGGACTTTAGTGGGTTGTTGTTGTTTGTTAGCAGTCTTTGATTAAGAGGATTTGTGGGTTAAGGGCTTGTCCTTTCGTGGGCATATCTCTTTCAGGTAGCAACTTGTCGTTCCTGACATTAGGTTGCGGTGTGAACAAGAGTGACACGTATAGACCACGTGATTTTGCAGGTTACTTCTGGATTTTTTGTTCTTGTGGCGGTGGGCCTTTCTGTTGCTCTTCTTGACTCGAATGGTATAATTGTAGCCGGGTTGAAGAACGGATTCGCACCTGTGGAAGAAAAATGATGAATTCTTTACTCTCGTGTAAAACAACCTATTTGCACCCAATAGAATATTCAATGATTGTATCTTCACAAACAAACGAGCAAACCAGAAAACACTTACGCGGTCATCCAAGCCTTGAACAAATAAAGTGAAACCACACTTTTGGTTTCAAACAAAAACTGGTTTCATCGCACAAGAACGACTCAAGTTATATGCTCCGTAATATAGATGTGAAAGAAAGCCCAAACATTCGGAACAAAAGGGAGTAAGAATAGCAAAACCTTTGACAAGAGACCAAAGAAGGGTCGGGAGCCAAACCCCAGGACTCAGAGTAAGCAGCTAATCGCGTGCCAAAAAAGGTGCTCAATGGGGGTATGGATGCTATGCCGCTGGCCCAAACTGCAAGGTTTTAAAATGATCCACTTTCACCATCAACTTGGGGTTAACATGACTCGGCTTCCTTGCATTCCAATTATGTCGGATCGTGCTTGATCCAAAAGCCACACCACCACTTCCTTCTCTCGAGTTTGGGCCTTTCTTGCCCATATTTTGGGGTGAAACAGTTACGGAACTCGCAGCCTGGATAAAAAACCCACCATTCATACATATTTTCATTCACAAAACGAAAAAAGGATGTAATTTATTAAAACAAAATCTATCAGCTAAGCAGAGGAAACAAAAAACTCATATCAGCATAAAATGTCATGGAGTATTATTTTTTTCTTCCACATATACATATCTTACATTCCTAACCATGGAGTCCCGACTCGTCATTTGTGATTTAATTGATAAATAGTCCTACTCTATATAAAAAATAGAAGGAAAAAAAATCTACTATTCGAACAAACATTCAAAATATAAGGCTAAACTCCATCATTGGTCCTTCAACTTTATCAATTGTGGACGATTGATCCTTCAAGTTTTAAAAGTCCATAAATAGTCCTTCAACTTTATGAGTTATGCACGATTGATCCTTCATGTTTTAAAGGTGCATAAATAGTCGTTCAAGTACATGTCAGTCCTCCAGATGAGGTCCTTTTGACAGTAAATGTTAAAAGCTAAATGAAATACTAGTTCCATATAATATGGAGTAGTCGTACCTAGTGGAATTTACTCGTATTATATGAAACTAGTATTTCGTTTAACTTTTAATATTTACTGTCAAAAAGACTTCATATGGAGGGATGACGTGTACCTGAAGGACTACTTATGGACTTTTAAAACTTGAAGGACCAATGGTGCAGAACTCATAAAGTTGAAGGACGATTTATGGATTTTTGAAACTTGAAGAACCAAACGTGCACAACTGATAAAGTTGAAGGACCAATGGTGGATTTTAGCCAAAATATAATTCTAAAACTAAATTTTCAATGTCATAAATTTTACATCAGAATTTTTTTTAAAGATAATACTCAATCATTCTCGGTAATGTTGTTGTAAACAAGCTGAAAATACCCACTTTAGCAAATGAATTACACTCCGTATGTTTTTCAGTCACGAATATCGATTAAATCAACCCCTTGACCTAGAAGAATCATCACTGTCCTCAATTAGCCCATCGCTGTGTATTAAGTGACATTGAATCAATCGATTAGAGGGGAGAATTACCTATGAGTATAGATTAATCGGTTGTATGCGAGAACCTCTGGCGCGGCGGCCGGAGGAAGTGTCTTGTGGCGGCAGCAGGCGTGGGGCGGCGGTCGGCCTAATGCCGCGTTTGTGTACTCGCCCAAAAATCAATGTTTTTATGCATTTTCATATGGATTTTTTATAGTAATAGTATAATTATTTTTTGGGAGATTTTTTTATTTTAATTCTTTATAATCAAATATTACGTTCGTGGGTTTTTTTTATGTATATTTTTCAGAAATAGTTCTTTTTTATTTCTGTCTTATTGTTATTGGTGTTATTTTGAATGTCAAAATATTTCATAATGATCATATATATTTCTTATCATACACAATGCAATAAGTTGTTCCGGATACATTGTTTGTAAATCCTAATCGCTTTATGCTACAATCATAGTTTACAGACTACAGATATAGTCTTTCATTAGAATCTTTGTCCACATCAATAGTCATTATTCTTGTATTTTCCGTCCAACCGACATTATAATATGTCACTACACGTGAAGTTGATGTCAAATTATACTTTTAATCCTCAAATTAACATCAACATTTTACATGTTTAAAAATTTAATTAATTCGGAGTATTAAAATAGATGAAATTTACTCCGTAACATTTTAAAAAGTGATATTTACACATTTTTCGAATGGTCTATTAAAAATTTAAAATAGTAAACACACAAAAATTTGACCATTTAAAATACTTAAAAACTCAATTGAAAATTTTACATAATTAATTAATCTTTGAATTTTCTTTGACAAATTCTCGTAAGTGGCAATACAATTTATTTGCAACTTAATATGAGACAAATGAAGTATATAGTGTGATAGGGGGCATGGAGTGAGTATGAATTTTCCTTCCAAAGAAACGGAAATCATTTTCCCCTTGAATCTTAGGGGGGTGTATTCAATTAGGATTGTATTAGATTTTTTTGGAATTTAAAAAGTATGTGAATTTAAAAAATCCATGGATTCTTCATAGAGTTTGGCCTACTTTCTAATAGATTTAAATGGATTTTAAAAAAATTGCTTTCTAAACTTTTTTCATCCGAGTGAACACCACACTACATCAAATCAAACATCAAATCAAACATTATACAGAAGAAGGCACCCATCCTTGCAGAAGAAAGGAGAGAAACTGTGGGGAATTTTCTCTTTTTTCTTTCCTTTCTTTCAATTGTTTTGCTTTTCTCTTCTGCATTTTTGCTGGTTTTTTTTACAGATCTCTGCATCCCTTCCTTTTGCGGGGGAATTCTCGTCGATCTCTGCATCCCTTCTGCATTTTTCCTTGCAGAAGAAAGAACGAATTCTGCATTTTTCCTTGCAGAAGAAAGAAGGAGAGAAACTGTGGGAATTCTCGTCCATCTCTGCATCCCTTCCTTTTGCTGGTTTTTTTACAGAGAAACAATTGCCAAATTGTGTAATGAATTCACTGGTTTTTTTGGGGCAATGAAGGCTCTTCAATTCCCTGGTTTTTTTTTACGGAGAACAAGTCCGTAGAAATCTCCCATCTTGAGAAGGGATTTCAAGTAAGCATATTTTAGGAGAGAATCCATCAAAGTCCATGTACTATTAAAATCCATGGACTTTTGAATACCTAGAAATTTTTTAAGACTTTTTAAAATTCGGATTGAATACCTCAGAATTTTTAAGAACTTTTTAAAATTCGGATTGAATACCTCCCGACTTTAAAAGTCTTAAAAAATCCCATAGACTCCCAATTGAATACACCCCCCTTAATTGAAGAAAATATTTTCCGACCACTAATATTACCAAACAAAAGAAAATAGAACCAAAATTTTATGAGAATATTTTGCAATTCGGGGAGTAATAAATACCCACCCTCCAAACTGCAAAGGTAAAGAACCCATTGACCAAACACTCACCAATGAGACCCAGTAATATTTCCCTGCTTAGCATTTCTTGAAATGGACAGTTCAGAAAAAAACAAAAACAAAACAGAATTCTTTGACAACTCTCAAATGTCTTACCAAATCCAAGGCTCAAAGCTAGCTCATTGAGACTTTGGGTTTGCAGACCGAAATGACTCTTTTGTCCTCCCATAGTACACTGATGTACCTCCAGGATAGTATATAAAATTCCAGCCAAACGCTGACCCCCCAACTCTATACGTACCCTTGGCAATGGCGTCACTGCCCCACTGGGGGAGATTTCCCGGCGCCGCCTTATCTTCAGAAGGCTTATTATTAGTTGTTGTTGGCGGCGGCGGCTTCTCTGCAGTTTTTATATTCTGATGCATGGCGCTGGGCTTCAAACCTTCAACTGTGTCCTTAGGATTAGATGGCGCTGTCGTGGTTTCTGTAGCCATCTCTTTGCAAAGATCCATGAGAACGGCTAGCTCTGCTCATTAAGAACACGAGGAACCATTTCATCAAGTCACTCAAATTAAGTGCTTATGGGTTGAAGATTGATAAATCCCATAGAGTTCTAAATTTGCAGTGTGCCCTAAACTTAATCAAAGGTTCTGAATTTACAGTTTCAAAAAGGAATCATTGTTTTCCTCGCCAAATACTAGCGAGTGTCTGTTGCAATGCTATGAATCTTTGGTTTCTTATAGCATTCATAACATATATACCAATAAGAGCTATCATTGTCAACACTTCACTTCCAAAATCATCAAATCAAACAAGCCATAAAGCTACCTACGCGTTCTGGTGCGAAATACATCTTCAAAATCTTACCTTGACGAATTTCAGTAGCTGCCTTGCAATTGCGGAAGTCAGGAGTGCGAAGAACCTTCAGTGAGAGAAGGAAACAACAAGAAATTCATCAGTACCCTTCATTGGATTATTGCATTCAAATACACATTTCGGAATGCAAATGCATTCAGTAGATGAAACAAGACATTCTATGTTGTGTGAACACTTTGCCATGAAACGAAACCATGAACACGCGGTCCTAATCTGCAATTTCATCAGTCTAACTATGATACGGAAAGCTTTAAGAACATATTTTTCAATATATCCACTAAAAAAGAACTAAAATCATAACTATGGGACTTGAACTAAATCTTCCAACACAAGACCTAATGAGGTCAAAGAGAAGAGCTGCGCATCTTCTGCTAAATTGTGAAATATCACATATTGATGCTCCCTCAAACCGGAATTTAATTGCCAGCTCTCCAAAATAACTCGAATATTAAGTATTGTGATAAAATGCCAACTCTATTCACTGCGGATGTTTTTTACTCTGTATTTCATTTATGTAACCAGATCTCAAGAGTAAAATTCATTGTGTGTTTGTTATCCTTCTACTTCAAGGGTATGTTGAGGAATTCATGTGATAAAAACAGTTTCCCAAACGTATAGCAACTGGACAGCTTATTACAGACGTCCCAAATGGACCGATGGACAATCCGGTTGGAGGGAATATTTCCCTAATGCTTTTCATTCGGCCAAATATTCAAATCCAACCCTAAAACACATTTCATTACACATTCACCACGTGTGACGTTTATCAATAAATTAATCAAGTAGAATAACTTGTGAAGACTAACTTTCTAGGAAACCCATTGCTCAATGTGAGGGTGTTTGTACACCTGACATACCCTTACTATAAAGTAGAGAGACTAAGTTTCCAAGAAACCCCTTCTGAGAGACATATATATGAACAAAGAAGCCTCCTAAGCATGAATACAGTATAAACAAGGATAAAAGAAGCACACTACGACTAAGAGTTAGACATAAAGGGCCAAAAACACCCAAGCACACACTACATGCTAAAAGGCAAAAACACACCAGCATAAACTACGAACAAAGGCGAACGAATCTACCCAACTACTCTAACCCTAGACCGCTTTCCTATCTAAGATCATATCCTAGAGAGGAACCCATGGCTCAAAGTTTTAAAATTCAGTGAAAGATGGGCAAAAGAGTTGTGGGTGTATGTACATGCCTGAATGATATGGGGTCGAAGTTCTTTAACAATGGCTCTCATCTTGTAGTAAGGAGTGCTCTGCAAGTGTGCCAGGTCAAGCTGCCTCTTTTTTGCCTTGGGCTGTTGAGGCTGCGGATTAGCTCTGGTGTCTTCCATGGGTAATAGGTTCTTAGTTCTTGGAGAGGATTGTTGAAACTCGTCTTCAAGCTTCTGATATGGGGCACTGCAGATTGGTATTTCGAAATTAAAGGGGAAGATCGCTTCAGATTTGGAATACTTGACAATGTACATGTATAAATTCGCCAGTGATTAACAAACAGAAAACAAAAATGGGTGTTAGAAAATTGAATGGAAAAAAACAATTTTTGTTAGATGATCTTTGACAAGTTTGGAGGTTGAAGCAGCGAGAAATACCTGAGAATGTGTGTGTATGTGGATTATAGAAGAACGAAGAAATTGTGAATTGGGAAATGGGTTCGGTTTTTCTTTAAAACGAATGGCGAATATACTTTTTTTCCCCAATTTATTTTCTTTTACTCGTAAAATTACTTCAGTGTGCTCTCGATTTTTTTTATAATAACTTTTAAATTTCACATTATCTGAAATATACTTCGAATATCTTCAAGTTTTTAGAAATTATATGTAAATCAATTCTTTCTTTCATTTTGACGGAATCACATTACTAGATCAAAATTTCAAATAATTACTTTTAATCCTACTCGATCAAAACTATTGGACTTCGAACAGAGATATCGCACTTTCATATTGTAAACATATTGTATACTATTGTTCTAAAATGGGAGAAGTTGATAGGCAATTTATATGACAATGCTAGAGAGATTTAGACAACCATACCTGTTTCTTTCCTTGCTTTGGCAGAGCAAGTTTAGTCAGAACATCCTTGAGTTCCTTTACCTGAAACTTGGCCACCTTGTCCTATAAAAGATAAATGACACCGAAAACTTGCAATTATCAAGGTTAGAACCACAATTGAAAAAATAATAACAATTGATGAAGAGGAATGCTCACCCTCAAATATTGCACAGAAAATAATAAAAAAGAACGATGAAAAGGAAAAGGCATTGTTAAAAGAGTGGTGAAACTACATGTTCAAACAAGAAAGAAACATCATATCTTCTGTCTTCAAAAAAAATGCAAGCCTAACCACAGTTTACAACTAAGTAAAACAAAGTTGCTTTAGTAACTATTCTTCCACCGGAAGCAGGCACAGGATAATGAAGGACACATCCACAGTAATTCATAAATTTAGTTGCATATAAATTAAAATTAGAGAAAATGAACCATGATCTGCCATTAATTCTAAACAACAAAAATTTGTGATTTAATGGCTACTAACATTTATAATAACGTCATTATTACTTCAGCACTCTGATCAATCACTCACGACCCCATACTAAATTCTTCACCATTCTACTAACATGGAAATTATAATATCTACCATATAATGAAATAGATTTGTTTCCATTAACATATGAAGCATTTACACTATTTGATTTGATGGATGGGATGAGATGTGATGCGTATGATGGAGGGAGGGAGAGGGACTCTAGTACACGTCATTTGGAATTACCAAAATACTTTAGGAAAGGGAGGCTATGGGGGAAGCTTCCCCTGAAATATTAATTTAAAAAATTCTTCCGATCCTTCACTTGTTTTCTTCCCACAAATCCCCTCCCATCCGCAGCCCGCACCACTCAAACCAAACAGAGGTCAATTGGCATGTAACAATAAAATTATTTTTCTTTACATTAGCTTTAAGCACCATGATCTGCAGCACACAACCAAGAGTTCAAATCACAAACATCCAACATAACCAAAATCCAAAGTATTCATTGGATAATCTGTTCATCTCAATCCAAGTTTTGTCCATTTCAAAAAGATGTAAAACCTAACAAACAAAAACTAAACCAATAATGTCAGTGTCTAGAGTTTGAAAAGTTTCTTGTTCAAACCATAAATATGTACTAACATTACTAACTGCAAACTACATGACGGGTATGCAAGTTCTCCATTCGTGGTTCTTAGTTTTGTTCAAGGTGTGCAAGGAGTTCTTTCTCTTTCAACATTCAAGAAAATAAAATGGAAGTGGCAATTAAAATGATTTAAGTGATTTCTGCTTCATTGATTATCCTTCTTGAATAAAAAATAGGTATAAAACATGCATTGACGATCCTTTAGAAATCAGTACAAAATATGCATTGATTACTTTTTGTAATCCTTTAAAAGAATCAGTATAAACATGCATTAATTTCTAATTTAAAACTTCAATAATCGTTTTGTATATAACATTCAAGAAAATAACATACAACATTAACTGCAAGGTTTTGAGAGGCAAAAATGGGCCTTAAGGCAGTTGAGAAAAATGCCTTGAGGCGTAAGCCTCGGGGCGGAATGAGGCGTAAGCCTAAGTTCAATTTGGAAAAACTAAATCTAAAATGAATTACCCATGGTAAATACAGAATACATAATCCATAATCATTATGATGAAATCTAAATGCTTCAGTTCCTGATTTTTACAAAAAGTAGTACCTTATCTTGATTTTTTAATACAAAAAAAGAGAGAATTACTCCCAAAAAATAAATAATAACATAAAATACAAAGTCACAAACGCCTCAAATCCATCTCCAAACATGATAAAATGGATAATGTTTCATGACTTTTTCTACTTCATAACCAAAATTTGACAAGTTTACTTTCACTACATAATACAATGAAATTTGTAGTTAAGTGACTTTAATACAAATCAAAGAAAAACCATAGATGAAGAGAGAGAGTAGTACTAGGAAAAGGGACAAAAATTTGAAAATGGAATAGAAACTTGAAAAAATTGAAGGTGAAGTAATTAGAAAATGAAGCAATTTTTGTCCAGAAAAAATTGAAGGTGAAGTAATTAGAACATAGCCTAATGCTTGAGTGTTCCTGTGTAACCTTAGGGTTAAAAAACAATATCAGAAACTAAAATTTAAAAAATCAGAAAGTAAAAATCACCATTATATTTCTTCATACATTCAACATATTTAACACATTACTTCACACAAAAAAACTCAGAAAATAAAATTCATACCGTCAAACCATTCGAAACTGCTTTTTGGATATAGAATCATGCCCCAATGCATGAAATTGGGAACAACAACTTTAAGAATGAAGAGGTATATAAGATGTGAACTAAAAGAATGAAGGGGCCGGTGTCATACCTGAATGAATGAAGGGGGCTGAACGATTGTGAAGAGGATACGATTGAGAAGAAGCTGTTGACCAAAGAATGAATCTACCCAATGGATTGTGAATAAAGACGCACGCTGAAGGACTGAGAGCTGAACGAAAAGGCTTTCCTCGTTAATGAGTGAATTCACTCGAACAAAAAGGATCGAATTGCTTACTCGATTACTGGATTTCTTAGAGGAGCGTGAGCCGGCTGGAATAATTCGATGATGGATCCGCCTGGAATAATTCGATCGATGACATGTACGTACCTTAGATCGGTGATGCACGATGGGTGCAAGCGTCGGACCAGATTGCTTGCTTGATGTATACCTAATCTTGATTTCGTCGGATGGGTGAAGCACGATGTGTGAGTGCTAAAGGGAATTATTTTCAGTAATTTTCGTCCATTGAAAGTTTTTAAAGACAATTTTAATTAAAAAATTTAGTTTCTATGTTACCAAATAAAAGAGGACTAATAATGATAGTATTTATATGTTTATTTTATAGAGTAATTAAGTATAATTATGTTATTTTGGCACACTTTTTTAGTGCGGTTAAATGAAATCGCTTTTTGCCTCTTTTTAAGTGCAAGGAATGATAAAGTTTTGAATTTTATTACCGCACTTGATCATGTGCAGCAAATTAAATGCTGCTAAAAGGCTTTTTTCTTGTAGTTAAGATCGCTTCAGATTTGAAATACTTGACAATGTACATGTATAAATTCACCAGTGATTAACAAACAGAAAACAAAAATGGGTGTTAGAAAATTGAATGGAAAAAAACAATTTTTGTTAGATGACCTTTGATAAGTTTGGAGGTTGAAGCAGCGAGAAATACCTGAGAATGTGTGTGTATGTGGATTATAGAAGAACGAAGAAATTGTGAATTGGGAAATGGGTTCGGGTTTTTCTTTAAAACCAATGGCGAATAGACTTTTTTTTCCCAATTTATTTTCTTTTACTCGTAAAATTACTTCAGTGTGCTCTCAATTTTTTTTATAATAACTTTTAAATTTCACATTATCTGAAATATACTTTGAATATCTTCAAGTTTTTAGAAATTATATGTAAATCAATTCTTTCTTTCATTTTGAGTGAATCACATTACTAGATCAAAATTTCAAATAATTACTTTTAATCCTACTTGATCAAAACTATTGGACTTTGAACAGAGATATCGCACTTTCAGTTAGCATCTAAGGAGTCAAAGTTTAAGCTGTCTTATACCAATAAAAAACAGGGAGGTGTTCTTGTCAGAGACTAGATGCATTATTGCATTTACTATCCAAAACTTCAGAGAAAAGCAAAAAACAAGAGAAGTTTATTGTTCCATTTTGATTTAGAGGGTGTTTGGGAGCGATTAGCTTATAGATAAAGTGATTTTTATAAAAGCTGAAAGCAAAAGCACCTCATACTTGTTTCTCCAAAACGGTGTTCTATGTACAAAATAATGTTGTTAAAAGTATAAGCTGATATGCCAAACAGAGTAAAATCACTTCCACTTAAAGCAGAAGCTAAATTATTAAAAGCAGTGCACTGCCAAACACCCTCTTAGTTGATTGTGTGTTTGAACTAAAACATTGACAATAATGAGCCTTTGAGCTCCGTTGGAAATAGACAAAAAATGGAAATTTAACCAGATAAACACAGATGGAGATTGAAGAAAAATTCAACATTAATCTTCCCATTAAGTTCATTAACAACTTAGTTGAGTATTGCTCCAAACATTGTAAATATGATCATACCATTTTACAAGTGCTCCTAATTGTCAACCTCCATAGCTTGTGCAGCTTTGGCTTTTGCCAATGGCGTCAATTTCGTCTTCAATTTCTTCTTCCCAACTTTGAATTTACTGCCGCCTTTCTTCTTGCTCTTTCCATCCACCTAACACCACCGCCAACACCATCAAAATTAAGCACCCCATTCATTAGTTTAACATCAAAAGCCAATTGAAAACAAAAGTATTGTAATTTTGAATGTCATTAAGATGCTATTAACACTAATTAAATCATCCCTAAAGTATATGACAAGTGAATTGATAACACAACCGACACTCTTTTCAACAAAAAGTTGCCATTGAACATGATTAGAAGATAACGCTATTCAAAAATCCATGCCAATACTCTTTTTAAGCTTGAGATTTTTTAAGAATATTCCAAGATAACATCATTATAATCAGTGGTGCCAGACATTCAACTTTTTCACTATAATACTCCACGATTGCATATTGATCCAGATATGCCTTAAAAATTAGGGCATCCATGTAAAATAAAAATATCTTTAGGAATACTATTGTAAAAAAGAATTTTCGGGAGCACTTGTAAAAATCATGTAATCTTGAAGTATTCTTGTAAAATCTCAATTTTTTTGGAGTTTTGTCATGAATCTTTTCCAAAAAGAAACAGCAATGGGTTTCAAATGAATCAAAGGGACGGATTAATTTGGAAGAAAAAATCAAGAAAATAAATGAAAACACAGTGAAATTGAAGAAAAAAAGAATCGATTTTGAAGAGATTAAAAAGGAAATTACTTTCATCTTGTCCTTCTTGGCTTGTAGCTTCTTCTCCTTCTGTTCCTTCGCTTGCTTCTCTCCTGAATTTCCAGGAAATTAACAAAGCACAAGATTCCAACAACGAAGAAAAAAAGAATTAAAAATAAGATAGAAAAAAAAATCAAAGGCGTCTTACTTTGGAGATCGAATTCGTGTTGCTTTCTGCGGAGAGCCAAATTGTTCTTCTTCGACATTTTCGATCGGGTGGAGAGTGCTGCAGCAAATTACCCAAAACCCTAACCCCAAATTCACTCATCATACTTAAAATTCTGGGGATTGGATACTCGGGCCTAAACTTCATCAACAGGCCCGACCCAATAATTTTATGCAAAAAGATATGAATAATTTTACAACTTCATACTTTTAGTAAACGAATAACCAATGACGCAATTACACATCAGGTCTCATGATTTTTAAGATATGAAACTATAGAGAGTCGGCTAGGATGAAAGATAAGTTCTATCGGTCTATAGTTAGATCCATAGTTTTAAAAACCGGACCGGACCGGCCGGTTCGAACCGGGAACCGGTGAACCGCTCATCAAACCGGTGCGGCCCGGGCAATCAGACCGGCTCCGGCATTGAACCAGTAGAAACCGGTTAAAACCGGAGAAAACCGGCCGGTTTTTGGTCGGAACCGGTTTTTTAATTTTTTTGCAAACTTTTTTAAAAAAGCACATGCCTAGGGATGTAAACGGATAATATCCGTTTCGGATGTATTATAACCATATCCGAATCCGATTAGCAAAACCGTTATCCGAATCCGCATCCGTGTCCGACGGATGTCTACAATACTAAATCCGAATCCGAATACGGCGGATACGGATGCGGATTCGGATATATGTGCATCCGATGAAGCATCTGAATACTAAAAAAATCCGAGTCCAAATTTGTATCTAGATTCGATAAAACATCCTATTCGCAAGGAAAAACTGTATCTGTATCCGAAAATAACATCTGTCCAAATATCCGAATATGTAATCTGAAAATCTAAAATCAACCAAGCACAACCAAAAACTTTAAATCCTTAACCAAGTTAAATCCTTAACAAAAATACAGTCAAATTCGAATGCACTTCCAAAGAAAACAGTCAAACGAAATGCATTTAATTTTTCGAATTGGAATTCAGTAACAAAAAAAAAAAAATCAAAGGAACAATCAACCTCTTTACAAAGCTAAAATGAAAAAAATTCCACCCAAAAATCTGGGCCTAATCACGAAAATATGGTCCTGTTTTTTAGTGAATTACTCCGTGTAAAATCTTTTAGGACACTTTGAGTTTAATAAATACATAAATAATTTTACTTTAAATATACTCAACTACCACAATAAATTAAAAAGAAACTGTTAAAATTGCAAGTCGCACAACTGGGAATAAAAATGTGTTTTCCTTTTTATAATAATAATAATAATAATAATAATAATAATAATAATAATAATAATAATAATAATAATAATAATAATAATAATAATAATAATAATTTCAATTATTCTTAAAGTCACTGTAATAAAAATAAAAAATTGAGGCGTTGATTCTAAAATAAAAGGAAAAAAAAGGAAAATTGAGAGTTCGTACCTAAAATCAAAGAAGAGAGTAGATGATGATGCTAAGGATTGAGGTGATGCGCTGAAGAATGTAGAAGATGAGGCGCTGAGCTGAAGCCGCAGACTCGCTGAGGAAGACGCTGGTCGCTGCCCGCTCGTCGCCGGAAAATCGCAGAGGAAGACGCTGGCCGCTGGGTCGGTTGGTCGCTGATCCGGGGAAAAAAAATATCAGGTACTTAGGTTTAATCAAAGAATCAAGATTATTTGGTTTTGGGCCACTTGGGCTTAGTGGGCTAGGTAGAAATTACAAAACTAGGAGTATATATAAAAATATTAATTATTCTAAACTACGGATATTTTTTATTAACTACGGATAATTTTTTATTACTTATATTCAGTATAACAGATTGAATAATCGAATATGCGACGAATCGGATTTTAAACGGATTGGACCCATAATTACCAAATCTGCATCCATTTATCAATCGGATGTGCTTAATCGGACACGGATAATATCCATTCAAAACGAATGCAGATTTTTCCATTTAAACGAATACGGATGCGGACGGTAATCGGATTTTTGGCTATCCATTTACAGTTCTACACATGCCCAAGATTCGAACCCAAGACCCCATAGCCATGTAGAGCAAGCATCAAACCATTTCTGCAACAATGCTTGGTGTTCATTCGTTGCTATTCCTCTTAAATATTCTTTAACTACAAAATTCTTTATCAAATACTTTAAAAAATATAGAGAGTTTTTTAACTAAAATTCAAAACACATTGATATAAGTTAGATGAAGTGCATATCACACAAATATTTTATTTATATATATTTTAAGTACTATGTAAAATTTTTCAGAAAAATGAAATCACTTTTTATTTATAAGCAATTTAAAATATGTGATCAAGTAAATTAAGTAAATTATAAATTTAGTTAAACATCAATTATTTATTTATAAATAGAGGAAATATTTTTTGTTTACTCATATATTAGTTTTTTAATTCAATGCCACAACGTGTGTGTGTGTATAAATATATATATATATATATATATATATATATATATATATATGACCGGCGGCGGGGCGGCGGCAGATTCCGGCGATCGGCGGCAGCAGGCGGCGGTTTCCAGCGACCGGCGGCGGTGGCGGATTCTGGTGGCCGGCGATGGTCGGTGGTGGATTCCGGCGGCGGCAGATTACTGGTGCCTGGCGGTGGCAGGTTGCGGTCAAAGGTCTCACGGTCAATGTCCAGTCAGCACCCCTTTCTTTGATTTTATTTTTTCAAAAAAAATTCAAAGTGTTGAAAAAATATGACGAGCTTTTCCTTACAATTTGATGAGCTTTGTAGTTGTCCTTGGTGAGCTTTGCAGTTGGCAGTGGTGAACTTTGTGTCATCTGACCGTAGGATGTCATCTTACCGTAAGGTGTCATCTCACTCGATTCAATCCCACATATATATATACTCCGAGTATATAAGATGTTTGAACTACTGGTTCAACCACTCGAACCACTGGTCTGACCAGTGAACCAGTGTCTTGACCGGTTCGATCACTGGTTCAGTTCTGAAAACTATGGTTAGATCAACTATGTTGTAAAAATGCGGAGTGCTGAGCAGTTAATAAATTTCACGTTCGTCAATTGCATGATGAGCAGATGTAGATGTTTTAGTGGATGAGTGAGTAGACATGGCTACTATAGAAGACAAGTTGCCAAAAGTTAGGTGTAAGTGGTTTGAACACGTGAGGCGACAGAGAGCCGACGCCTTGTGTAGAGATGCGAAGGACTTACGTTGGTGGTGGAGTAAGGGAAGGGGTAGGCATAGAACGAATTGGAAGACGGTGATTAGGATGTAGGATTTCTCACCCTTATCGAGAATATAACGTTAAATAAAAGTGTTTGGGAAACTAATACTACCTCCGTCACAAAATATTTGTCAAATTTTGACTTTTTTCAGCGAACTATTTTCAACCTTTGACCTATAATTAAAATATATATATTGTATATTAATTAAATAAAATAATATTTTAAAAATATTTAATATAATAGATCTAATAAAAAACTTTTGTATTAATATCTAATATCATTTTTATTTAATTTGGAATCAATGTTTATCAATTTTGACCGAAAAACATCAAAAGTGAACTAGTATTCTGAGACGAAGGGAGTATTAGAATAGTTGAATATGTGTTTGAGCTAAGTAGTAGTATTTGTACTTGGGTCCTTTATATGCTTGGTATGATTGGTACTCTAGTGTTTTTTTCTTAATATAATTAGTACAACATCTGTGTGTTTTATACTATCTCTACAATATGTGCCCTCTATGACTTATATTATACTTCGTATGTGATTTTTGAGCCAGAGGTCTCTTGGAAAGAGGCGCTCTACATTCGAGTAGAAACAAGGTCTACGAACAGACCCTTCCACAAATTCTACTTTCATAAGACCCAATTGAGTTGATAAAAACTTTAGATGAGTGACACTAATTAAATAAAATAAAAAAATCAAGTCCCTAATATTAAACTCGTAAAAAATAAGGTATCATTGAATTGTTTTAAGCCACGTAAATCATACGAAGTACAAAATATGATGCGACCACGATGACGCGAGAAAACAATGGACAAAGAGAATAACACATTAACACCAGCATGACCTTGTTTGAATAAATTTTTAATAACAAAAAGTTAACTTTTAAAACATTGATGCTAAAATACAGTCATTAGACAACCATTTTCAAAACGCTAAAGCTAAAAACTGAGGTTGTTCCCAAATAGCCACTCTATAATTTGTTCCAAGCTACAACTTCCCCGCCTCGACAATGCGGACACATAATTTGAAATCAAAGGAAAAAAGGGATAGCCACATTTGCAAACTTACTATGATCGCGTGTAACGCCCCAAAAATAGGCCTATCAGAATTAATTAATTGATAATTAATTAATTACTGAGAAGGACCCAAAAATATGTGAATTATAAAGTTTGTCAATAAATAATAAAAATTATATCGTTATGTAGAGTTTGACTGTCTGACAGCAACGGTTCAATCGGATTTTAATTCGGAGAAAGTTGGACCAAAAAGTGTACCCCGACTGGGACCAAAATTAGTCCCAATCAGGGACTTGCATTTAAAACCCGTAGAAGATCGCCGTTTGCTCCACTCAGCCGCTGGAACAGGGAACAAGGACATCACCCATGGCTTCTTCTACTAACCCTCTACTATAAAACCCTCAAATTGTCCACCATTCTTCATCATTCTTATCCCAATAGAAAGAGCTGAGTGTGAGGAGCGTTTTAGTACTACCAATTTGGTGTGAAGTTGCCGGAGCAAGGTGTGGTGTTCGCCAGAAGTTTTGCCGTCTTTTCACCGGAATCATCGTTTAGGATTAAGGTAAGCCCGTAGATATATCTAAAGACTAGAATGTTCATGTAGGTTGTTTTTACGTTCATAAATGGTTGTTTGGTTGAGTTTTGTGTTTGACATGTTTAAGAACCAAGAATCATAAACCTTGAATTTGATGTTAAAAATATGTTTTAATGATTCCAAAATGATATATGAACCTTGGAGAACATTTCTATATAATTTAATTAAAGTTTGGTGATTAAAAATGATAATACTCGAAACTGACCAGAGGAAGAAGATGATGAACAGTAGCCAAAAATCGATTATTTACTCTTAAGAATCGATTAGAACTTTGTTCAGATGAGGTGCTCGAAGTCAGAAAAACATAATCGATTATTTTATTAAAATAAATCGATTTTTATTATATAATCGATTATTTATAAATTATAAATCGATTTTAATTAAATAATCGGTTATTTATAAATTATAAATTGATTTTTAATTATTAATCGATTATTATTCATTAAATAATCGATTTTTCCACATTTATATATATATAAATAGATTATTTTATATTAAATCGATTTTTCTTCAATTCGAGTTACTGCTTCGAAAATATTTCTGAAATTATGCTCTAAAATCCTACTTTTGATACGAACTAATTATAGACAATATAAATATGATTTTGTACATTAAAATGATGTTTTGACATATAAAAACATAATGTGATGCATGACGGTAAGTTCGGGTGTTAACACTCGATACTAGGCCACTATTAGTTATTAGATTTTATGATTGTTTGACTATTGATTATGATAAACTAATTATGTTGAATACTCTGAATGACGATCATGAATTGTTACGTTGAGAATAATGAATTAATGAATCATATTGTTAAGGCTACTTAGAAGACCTCTAAGATAGACCTCAGATTAGAATGGGCCTTGCGAGTATAAAACGTATATTCGGTGGCCTTGGGTAAAAACGTACGTACGGGATCCATAACCAAACTAGAGGAACTCGTTTGGGGATACCACCCAACCCGACAGTTAGTATCCTACTGTTCGGTTTTCTGGATTTGTACCTTAAGCAAAGGCTAGTTTAAGAGTTGGTAAATCAATCGGAATATATGTACCTTAAACTAATGACCTAGCTTAATAGTTGGATAGAAGTAGCTTAAACTAGAACTAGTTTAAGAGTTGGTAAAACATTAAAAAGATTGGCCTTAGATTAAATATAGTTTAAGAATATTGTTGAGTATTGAATATTGAATATGAATGTTGAATATTGAAATATTGAAATAAAAATATTGAGAATATCATGAATTATATATTGTGTGCATGATATCAAATGGTTGTTTGTGAATTGAGATTCAATTTATGTGGATGTTCGACGCTTTAGATATGCTTACTCAGCTTCACCGCTGAACGTGTAGTGGGTTTTATTTGCTACACGCAGGTAGGCAGAACGAGTAATTGACATGTTCCTGGCAGCAGAAGGGGCGAGGCAATCGTGGTGGATTTATGATTTAAAATGATTAAATTAAATTGTTATGAGACATGATTTAAATTGCTTCCGCATTATGGTTAAAAACTCCATAATTTATTACTGTTATGTATGGAATATTATTTTATGATAAATAAAGATGTTAAAATGTTTTAAATTTTTACGATTACCAAATTAATACTTTAGTCCGAAAGGGGCTGCAGACCTGGACGAATTAGGGTGTTACATCGCGTGCACTACTCTCCGCAATTTCCTTCAAATTAGTCCAAGACTTTTGCCTCCTTTTCCTACCTGTGCCATTGTTACTTTGATCAATAACATCTTTCGCAGTCGTAATAGTATTATTGGTAACAGTAGTAGCATGCCAGATCCAATGGCCTTCCCTAATCCTCCAGATTTTGTTGAAACACGGGTTTATCATGTTTTCGTACTAAAGCTGTGGTCGTTTTT